AGGTTTTTGTGCATGTTTATAGTCCTATAATTATACATAATAATAGTAATAATAATAATGAAAATAAATCATGATGTATGTGTGTTGTAAAATTTTAAAAGTTACACAATTTAAGATATTAAGTTCTTTGAGTTTTTTTAACTTGTTATTATTTTAGTGATATTATTATTATAAAATTATTTTTGTGTGTATATATGTATAGTTTTTTTTTGGTAAATCCATTATTTGAATTTTTCTATTTTTGAAATATTAAGTTAATCTAACTAATTTTTGAATTGACCCAATTTTAATAAAATATAATTAGTGCATCCACTAAAACAATTCTCAATCATTTTTATTATTTAACATCCTCAAAAAAAAAAAAATCTTCTTGCCATATCTTCTTCACAACTCAATGACTTCTCTCCAATATAAAATTATCTATTTCGTGTATTTTTTTTTAAGTTGCACCATTACAACTCTTCCCATGAGTTCTATTCTCCACCCCTTTCACCCCCTTGCATAATTAACACATCATTGAGTGCAAAATTGAGAGATAAGTGAGGAAGTGTGAAGTCCTACACAATATAGGAGGAGCAAAGTAAAGACAACTGGGTCAATTTAAGTTTACAATTTTGGAAAAGAGAATAGTAATGAACTGCAGTAGCAATGATAATTAGTATAAAATTATACAACAATGTGTAAAACAATTAATCCTATAACATATCATATTACAATGTAAGTAAAATATCATTATTTATTATAAGTTAATACAATTTAATGGAAGTTACATCAAAAAAATAAATAGCTATTCTGGTTAATGTCGGCATGCATGAGTATATTTTGTATTTATTTTGTGTTTATTTCATCATGTATACCCTGATGAAATAAGAACACAAAATAAATAGTAACAATAGATACAAAAAAAAGGAAATGCCACGTATATATATATATATATATATAAATATAACGAATTCTTTTTTCTAATTGTCAACTGCAGAAGAATATTCAAGAGAAAAATTAAGACATTAACAAGGGATTTGGGCACACTAAATGCAATTCCTATTGAAGCTTGGAGTATAGTAACCACAGCATGGTAGTATCAATGCTAGTATTTAAACTTTGACCATATTAGTCGAAACAGGTATTGTATTCTCTGGAAATTTAGAATGTCTGGTTTGGAAACATGATATAACTGTATACAATGTTCAAATACACACACACATACATATATACATACATACATACAAAAACACATATAACTGGGTTCTTCAAAATGAAAATGGTGTTTGTTTGCATGCTTTTAGATTTTAAATTTGAAAAAGACGAATGTAAAAAAAATTGAAAGAGATTATATTCTATCCTAAATTACACTGAAGCAGTCTCTAACTTAATCAGCCTCTACGCATTCTGGGAAAAAAAATAAAAAAAATAAAAAAAAATCCAGTAAAGGCAAACACATAGCTCATATAATATCCACTTGGAAAGTTTCTAATGCTTATACAAAGTTAATATTTTGTTTTTATTTGTTTTTTGACTAAAGAAGAATTGTCCGTTTTAATTAAAAAACGAAATATTTTTAGAATCCAAGTTAAATGAAGCATTAATGCGGAAGTTAAAAGAATGAAAAACGAATGGAGAAGGAAGATTTTTTATTTTTATTTTTAAATTATATTTTGAAAATTTTGTTTGATACTTATGTACTTGGTTTTGTATACATTATAAGTAATTGCATATGTATAAATTCTCGACTGTCAAAAAACATTATTTCATTAATTTCTTGTGAAATAAATGTGACTACACTAATAAGTTTACAAAAATAATACACGACGTTGTTTTTTGATTTTAGCGTTTGTAAACCGCAAGTAAATACTTGATGGGTGATATTCGTAAACGATCGGATGATTCTCATCGAGACGATGAGCGAAGACATTCGTCTATTCGCAAACTCCAATCGAGGCAGGGCACAAGACACTGTGGCAAAATGCAAATAGCGCAGGTGTTTTATATAATGTGTCACGTTCGCATGAGGTGACATCCGACGGCTCACAGCTTCACCACTAATGCGGATTCCGATCTGGCCATTCATTATCAAAGCGTATATTACTTGTATCTGTACTCCGACGTAGAACAGATACACCCATAATTTGACAATTCTAAATGATAATCAAATAATGGGTATAAATTTGTGTATGTATGTAAACACAGTAATGTTTCAGTAACTTGTGTTTGTGAAGATCAAATGCTCTAAACACTTCTCTAGTAATACTAGAAACAATTATGTTTATTTATTTGTTTTCAATCATATTATCAAATGTTGAAGATTGTCCAACAGTAAATTCAATTGGTACAAAATGGTTGTTGTAGCAGCATGTTGTGATTACATGATAAATTACAATCTGTAAATTATGTCAAAGAACATTTTATTTGAAAGTCTGTTTGGATAAAAGTTGAGATGTAAAAATGTTACATGCAAGAAAAGAAAGAAAAATCCTTATTTGGTTTTTATTTTGTCATATTTTCAACAACAATTATAATTCTTGTAAAAAATGGACTCAAAAAATATAAAATGATCAATTTAATTGGGTGTTGTTAATGTCACCATAGTTTTTGCTATTCCCACCATAATTTGCCATCCACCACATGATATTATAGGTTTTGCTGATACCACTGCAATTTATTCTACACTTCCATTGCACATCATAATTCACTTTATGGAACATTGCTGATGCATACCAGAGTAGATAAAGTGCTCATTCTTTATAGATATATATATTTGAGTGCTCCATAAAATACACTAATAGCAAAAACTATAATGGCATATGATGGATGGCAAGTTGTGGTAGCAATAGCAATATCCATATAATTTATGAATATTTATTTTCCAACCAACAAACAAATGATTTTAGATCTTTCACAACTATGTTAATTTATATAATAATTATCCAAATTATATTAAATAAAATTCGAGGAATTATAATATAAATTTATAAGTAGTATTTAAGTATCTTTTTAAATAGTAAAATTTCTTGGCATTTATACAAAACACAAATATTTGCAAATGCCTCTCTTGCTATGTAAAGTGTTTCAACATGGAAGTCTTGCAAAAAAGAATGTAGGAGAAACATTGAAGTCATCCTCAATATTCTACATTAAAATAAAAATAAGAATAAAAAATACTTCTAAACACTTCCTTAATGTTCTAACAAAGGAAAAGGGAGCACTTAATAAAATTCAACAAGGATATCATAGGAAAAGTTCTACTGAATTTTTATTCTTGTGGTGAGGTGGTGTTATATTTAAAGAGGCTCGCAGTCTCGAATGAGGTGCTCTCACATTCAAAAATGATTGTGGATTGAAACAGATTACTTGAATAGTATCACAGCTATATTTTGTTTTGATTTACTATGTATAACTATTTGCGTATCATTAAGTTATGATAACTGAATTGAAAAATTAAATTGAAGCTTTCTCATAGAATTAATAGTTAATAATATATATATATATATATATATATATATATCTATCTATAGTAAGTGCGATTATTTTATAAATATTGTAATTTTTTTAGTTTAATTACTGAAATAGAAATGCACATTAAGATTCACATATTTCATTGTCATTGTATTTATGATCACCATTTAAATATGAAGTTTTGCTTTGAGAGATGAGGTAGTGCATAGAATTAGACTTGAGAATGATGATGTTGATTTAAATCCATAAAAGACCCAATGAAAATCTACAAATCCCAAGCAGTAAATCAAGGACAAACGAACAAACACCATGGCATCTCATACTATTATATCATGTGAGCTAAAATGTTTAAGGTATTGATGATAAAATCCACTGATTTAAAAATGATGTACTCTTAGACTAAGTTTAACGACCAGCTTTTTTCATGTTATGTAAGAGATTCTTCAATCCATCAAACTTTTTGTGTTTAATAAAAATTCCATAATTAAAAAGACCCATTCAGGAACATATATAAATAAGCAACCACTTGGTACAAGGAACCAATGAGAGTAGGATTAAACTCCAAAAAAATACATTCTCATATGGAATGCAAAAATGGTGCATGCATGTGAATTTACATATTACACACTCACAAAAGAACTCACAGAAACTTAATTTGGAAACCAATCTAGTATACACAACCAAACACCTTGATTTTTGTGTTTTGATTTTATCATGCCAATCTCAAATGCAAGAATTAAAAGAAATAAAATAAACAAACACACACACACACACAAATCCAATGCATGCTCTAAAACTCTCTACATAACTTACTAACTAACCACCCAAATAAACAAATGCTAAAAAGAGCTCTTCACATCCACTGGAACAATGTCACATAATTACCTCTCGCAACTTGCTCATACATTTCATCCACCCCAAACCCACACACAAAACGTCATCCATCCCAATGCATCCATCTAAATTCATCCATTCACCAACACGCCAATTATGGATAGAAAGGATCATCTCCATGTTGTCACTAGAACGTAAATTAACCGCGTTCCCCTCAACATCGGCCTTCGAATAAGGTGATCAGACTAGTATGAAATGAGCACAGTGGGGTAGAAAAGGTAAAAGTGACCAGTAATGGAGGTTAATCGGAGCAAGAAATCCTTATAAAGAACCGACTTATTCATTCGTTGGCTTGGCACGCCTTCCCAGGCGAGCCCAAGTGCACAATGCCAGGTCCTTGTCGTCTCTCGTGCAACGCTATCTCTACAATAGTGAGCTTTCTGCCATCGCCCCTCTGTCGCACAGCTTTGCTTGTCAATCCCCCCCCTGTCCCTGTTTCGCATTGCGTTTTGGCACAAGGGTGACGTTCGAAGCCTCGTTGTGTGTTTTTGAGAGCTTTTGGTGAAATTTTCGCGGAGTTGGACACAGTTCCGGTTGCATTTGTGGCCGGGACATTCCGCGGTGTTTTTATTTCCCTCTGGCTCTTTGGCAAGTAATGGAAGTGGTGAGTCTTCGTTTTAATCGAGGAGTAGCTCTTGTTCTTCGTGGAAACGAGGGAGGAATGGTAGCTGAGGATGTTGCGTAGTCGGCAGTACGGGAGCTTGAAAGGGGGTTTTTATTGTCGTTGGTTTCGGAAGCGCGTGGTGTGTGTTGCTGCCGTCGGGGGTTGGTTTTGTGTTATATTCTCATTCGGTGAAGGTTTTGTGAGGAGTGCATTACGAGGATAACGTTTCAGTCATGGATTTTGTTTTCATTAAAGGTGTTACAGAACGAATTTTAGCGTGGTTGGTGATGCCATCGAGTGCGGTGTTTATTTGAACGGTACGCTTAGCTTGAGCGGGTAAATGCGGTTAGGATCGGTTGAATTAGAGCTTTTGTGTGTTGGAGTGATGGATGTATCAGAATATTGGCTTGTCACGACGAGAGAAGCTCTCTAGTACGCGCTGCCCGATGGGAGTGCATTGTTGTCTTCGTCCTCCAGTTGACCCTTGATGAAGTTGACTCGGAAGTTTTCAAAAGCAATCCTTATCAGAAACCCAGTGAGTATGGGATGCGTCTGTCATATGCGCCGATTCGTATCGAACTGACAATCGTCATTTTGGAATGCAGATCTCTACTTCCAGTGAAAGCAATCATCTTTCGCATGTCTTCCCCGGTCCTCTTTGACTTGCTCCTACCTTGAGGCGATTTCATATGTCACGGCGTAGCTAAACTGCCTTGCGATATACCAGGATTTTCACAATAGCTTCTCAGGGTGAAGGGCATGTCCTGTGTCGGAAGCGCGATCCTCGAAAAATGACACACACTTTGTTCCTCACTATTGATCAATTGCCAGCCTGAACCTGTAATCTACGTTTGTAGACCGCGGTGAATTTGACCCTGTCTCACAGAGCTTATTTTCTTTTTGAAGTCACCCTGCGGCATGCATTCGTCTCTTGGTCATTGCCTCATGAGGAACAGAGATTTGGGTATCGGCACTCCTCGTGTATAGTTTCGAAGAGAAAAATTCTTCCTTGTAATAACAAAAGTCTTACAGTTTATCCGTGAACCATACACGTACATTGTTGATCAAACTGAATAGCTGCAGAGCTTCCTGAAGCCACTAGATTATTGAATTAGACAAAATTGCAACGTTACCCGTAAGAATGCCTGGACTGCGCTATTCCGGACCGATTGTAACTACAATGTATGTAAGCTACCCCTTCTTCTGTGACCAGATGCACAGCGACACAGACGCGACATGGGACTCTGTAGATCTTAACACACTACAATTCGCAGTTGCGGATGCCATGCCCTCCGCTCCCAGCAGGCACAAATCACGTCGCACTCCACAGCGTTACGCGTCGTGGATTACAGGCAAGGCGGGCTCTGGGTCCAACGTCCTCAGCAGCCAAGGTTGTTCTCTGGCTGTTAGTGCTCCAGCGCAAGGCAACTATGACAACGACAGCGACGACCTTGCGTCAATGGTACATGATTTCATTGAGAACGATTCTCCTGGCTTCCCCAACGAAGACGACAGTGACAGCGGATCTCCTGGCGTCACCAAGCTTGGTGACAACTTGCAGGTGCTTCGCTTTCTTTAGCGTGGATTTGCATCAAGTGAAAATTTATGTGCTCCGAATCACAGCCCAGAACTTGGGTATAGCTATGTACTGTATTTTGCAGTTACGCTCTTTGAGGCCAGAACGAATAATATCCTCCAAGTGATAATGCCATACATGGCTACATCGTAACAATTTTCCTGCGTATATTCTTCTCAAGGCCTTCAGTTGCCCTTAGCAGAGTGCCAAATCTTGCTTGTTTGGCGTCGATTCCATAAACTTAGGGAGTAGTACAAAGAGCTGTTCTGAAGCGCTACGGGCTGCGATCAAGTTATCTCGCCACTTGAATGTGCGCACTGGTTGACTCCTATATGCTTATGCTCACTGATGCAGGCGTTGACTTCTTCATATGGAGGTATAGAGGCAGAGCTCTTAAATGTCGTCCGGAGGCTTGTTTTGGGTATCGACATCGACACGGACTTGATTTGCAATTCCGAAGGCACTAATTGCAGGGGTGGATGTATCAAGCGCTTGGTTGTCAAGCAGTTGCGTGCCGCAGGTTTCGATGCGGCTATTTGCAAAGCGAAATGGGAAGGAAATGGATGTGTTCTGAGAGGTATTCAACAGTTTCCTCTCTTTTGACGTTTTCCGAGTTTTGCGGGTGCAGTTGTCAATGGTGTGCGAGGGTCCCGATTTGGACTAGTGATTCTCGTTTCATTACTGCACAGGGTATCTGTATGTAGCTTCCATAAGTGCAGTTGAGGCACCTCGTATTGAATTTCTGTATGAATCATGACAAATTATGTTCTGTTGCCTTGCACACAGGCACATTACACATGGGTGAGTACGAGTACATCGATGTGGAAGGCTCCGGGGAGCGTTTGATAGTGGATGTGGACTTCCAGGAGCAATTCGTACTAGCGAGGGCGACCCCTGACTACCTCACTACTCTCAAGCTTCTTCCCACTGTTTTAGTGGGGACGACGGAGAGATTGGAGCAAATTCTTCCAATTATGTCAGAAGCAGTGAAAACATCCTTGAATCAAAACTCCATGCCGCTTCCGCCGTGGCGCACTCTTGATTTCATGAGCTCCAAGTGGCTTTCACCCCATGAACGTGTCATAGATAGGTCGTGGCCGTGTGTGCCCAGAGGTTCCCTGAGTGTCAGTCTGAAAGGACGGCTTGCACCCATGCTTGAGAGCAGGCCATGTGATGTACATTTACGACGTATTAAAGATTCTCTCCTTTCGGAAGTGAATGGCTCAGCAATGAACATACTGGGGCGGGATAGAACTCGTCAGTACTCGAAGTCACGAGCCAAACGAAGCATTCTTTGAGTCTTAACGTCGGCAGGGCTGGACGATCCTTGACAATATCACAGATTTTACTTGCGGCTATCTAGTGTGGACTGCTTCCTTCATCACATAGACTACCAGTTGATTTCTGAGGAGGTTAAGTTATCTAGACCTCACGGCATCCTTACTGCATGCACTGTACTGAGACCCTTTCGATTTTTCCTAGTTTCTTAGATGTGGGGATTAGGAAACCACGGGCATTCTAAGAGAGCTTGCCCTAGCGGATTCCAGATCTGCAATACCCACTTCGTATAGTCGTTTATTAAAGCGAATGTAAACCAGATGTGCCTAGTGGACAGTTGCGCGACACTTTTCGTGTATCAAGGTTAATAAGTCGTGTAGAGATGGTCACGCATGATTCTAAGGATGTATGTATATATATATATATGTATGTATAATGCACACATATACACGTATCTATCCCTCGTTGCAGTTTGATTAAGTCGTGAGATGACACTTTCTGTGATGTGCTTTTCCTGGTATCTGATAAATCTTCTCTACACATTCACTCCTCTCCATGATGCTAGCTTTTGCATTCCCCATATTACAGATTTGTAGTCCACTGGGTGTGACCCAATGTATTTTCATGGCCGTCCGCAATGTTTGTTTGTAGCTATGCCGGCCTCTCTGAGGTACATCATGGCGCAGAGAATTCGGCCTCTCTGTCACATTTGTCATCCTTGATTTGGTTTTTATTGTACATGTATTTTTATTACTTTTGAATAAGTTTTATTTACAGTGTTTTGTTTTTACTACTTATATTTAATGATGTTTGTATTCAAGTTAATGTAAAAGAATGACTTTGATGGTCACTAAACCTTTGATCTAAGTTATATACCAATATGCAGTAATCAAGGTCATGTTTGGAAGTAAAAAGAAAAAAAGAAAAAAAACAAAAAAAACAAAAATGAACACTTCTACTATCAAATTCTACTATTAATCATGAATTATGATATCTGATATTAAGATTTAAAATAAATAAATAAACTGTAATTGAAAGCATCATTTGTTGCCAATAGACAAAGTTCATGTGACTTATAATCTTTATTTGAATTCATCAGTTAGGATTCTTATTTTTTCCATAATTACAAATAAAAAAGTAAACTTTGAGTTTATTATAAATTAGTAAACTTGAAATGCAATGATTATTTTGAAAGACTGAGGCATTAAAATGTAATTTGATAAATTATTATGTTAATCTCATTCATCCCTTAATTTAGCTTTGTATGTGGTATTGTAGTTATTATTTTTTCTTTTAGATCTAATTTGAACACGTGGCACCACACTAGTCCAAGAAAAAAACTCACACACTAAACAAACTAAATCATTTCAATGGTCCCTATCGCCGTGATCTGCACAGCGACTCTTGCCACTGCGAACTCCAAGACGGTAACGGTCACCGAAGACCGTTCGGCCTCGGGGGCTTCGCCGAGAATGGGTTGTTGCTCCATGCTCCGAAAGCTCCACTCCCAGTCGAAGCTTTTGCAGAGCTTGAGATAAGTGTCTGTGTGCAAGGTCGAATGCGCGATCGAGCGTCAAATTTCCGAGTATTGTTGGCGTTTTCTTATTTGCGTAGGCTATGGAAAGCAGTAATTGAGCTTGAGATTGAAAGATGAGAGTGTGTAAGGTGGGTGTACCTAGCAAACGCTTGCGTTGTCAGTGAACTGCAATACACCCTCTGAAGGAACGGAGCATTTTGGGGAAATGACGAGCCTGTGCGTTGTGGTCTGTTTCCTCTTCTCGAAGATTCTGCAATTTCAGCTCGAGGATTGGTATTGTAGCATTCTCGCGTCGAGGTTCCGATCATAACCACTTGGGTCACGATTCTCGAGAATGAAACAAAATTTCGGGTTGTGGGTCACTCACACGGAGCTGGTCGAGGGGAGAACGAAGTTTAAGCTAGGGTATGTTCACCATTCCTATCAGTTTCCTCTCCAATCGATAACATACAATTAGTTTAAGCGTAGAAATCCTATTGCACAGGAAGTTTTCATAACGTAGAGCGGATTTCCACTCGCACTTCGAAAGTGATTGATCCCTAATGCGCTGTTTGGATGCGCTAGGTTGTGGATACGGAAGCAGCGACCCACATGATGGAATCGCTTCTGGGAACGCTCCCGACTCCAACAAAACATTCCTCACATTGTGTAAAGTTAACATCTCAGTGTAAGTGGGCAATTTCTATGGTACAATTCCACGGTGGGGGCAAATGGTCATTTCCGAGCTTAGCCATCACAGCTGGAGTCAAACCGCTAGCATCCAAAACCAGCACCAAATATCATTTCACGGAGAGCTCTTAAACAACGCAACAGGAGCAATGGCAGATGACACACACGATATCGTCGAATTAGTAGGGTTTAGCTTCGAGGAATCCGTTGACAGTCCAGCCGTGTTCCGAGCATTGATGCGGAACCCACTAGAGCTGGGCTACAACATCGGACTACGGAGGCGATGCAGTTAGGGTTTTATACCACCGGCTATATATGATACACCGGTCTGTTCTTTGTGAGTTTTTTCTTATATATTTTTTTGGTATGATCCGCTACCTATAGCTTTGTTTTGTACTGAAAAATATCACATAAGCTTTCGCTAGATGTTGTAATATCCTGGCTTGCAGGGAAAAGCATTAGAGTTAAAAGCGAGAGCTGCGATTGCTTGGTAGATTGGAGCTCTGGGTCAGGATGGTTGCAGTATTGCTGCTGCTGCCACTGCAAACAAACATCTGAAGACTTGACGAAGACGGGGATGGTGGAATTGGTGATGAAGCTCTTGGATCGTTCCTCTTTCGGTGAATTGTGTTGAGACTGTTTGTTTGGATTTTGTTAGAGCTATCTTGTAGTAATTCTTCTCCTGAACTGGTCATTTCATGTTACCAAATAACTGTTTTGAAGTTAGTTTGTAAAAGTGTACCTGAACATGTCAAGTCTGTTAACATTTGTAAATTAGCATTAAATGTGTTAGCAAACCAGCATTGTTTTCTGATTCTCTTTTTATTGGTATATACATACATAGTAGTACTGGAAGTCTCTGCTTTGGGAGAAATATGTTTAAATTATTGATGAATACATATCATTATAACAATATATGATACAAAAATGAATGACAATGCAAACAATGTAACAGAGAATCACTTAAGCACATCTTATTAATTCTGCATGAAAATTAAACAAGATATAAAGGTGAGACATACAAATGAAAAAGAAATAAAGAAATGACAACCAAATACATAAGAACCAAAGAACTCACTTGGTTACAAAAATGTTATAGAAAAGAGTAATGGTTTGTAACTACTTAAGTATTATTCTTTTAGTCTTTTGGTTTGTAATGTATATATAAATTTTGCACATCCAAAAGGCAATATCTGTTCAGATAAATACTTGATAATTTTGATTTGGTTAGGAATGTAATAGCTAATATAACAAAATAGTCTTTTCTTTACTTTTGGATCTTATATATATATATATATATATATATATATGTAAATGTATCTCACAAATATACCAATTATGCAAATAGATTGTAAAAAATATATGTTTTTTGAATAGTAGTTTCATATGGACAAAATAATCTTTGTAGTTGTATTCTAGTTTTATTTGAAAATAAATATTTGTTCTTAGAAATAAAAACAATTATATTAATATTTAATTTTATAAAAGATTATATTTTTTTTATTAAAATTTTTTATTTTAATATTTGAATTTAAAACTTAAAAATGTAAATAAATTTATATCTTATTTTTTTAATGCATTTATAAATAAGGAATTATGCTAGAAGAAATATTTCAGCTTTATTCTAATAACCAAAATTACTAAACTAATGAAATAATTAAAGAAATACAACACATTTTATAACACGACTAAAAAATTGTAAATTATTTTTATTATTTTATCTGAAATACTGTAATTCTAAAGCTATAATTTAGTTATTTCTTTCAATTTTTTAAATTTTACTTTTCATAAACTTTTATTAATTTTAAAAATATAATTCCTAAAAAATGAATTATTATATATATATATATATATATATATATATTTTCTGAAAAATGGAACGTAACATATCTATTTGTGTAAAATATCAAATAAAAATTGATATAAATATGCAATGGTAAGATAGGAATAAAAGATTGATTCTGTCTAGAAGTTGAAAAAATTTATAAAATAACATCAGATCTAGATTGTAATTGAAAAGTATGTGAACAAGGTTTCTTTGATTTACATTGGTCAATTATAATATTTAAGTTTAAAAAATTAAAAAAATTAAGAATGTTTTAATATTTTTTATATTAATTTAAAAAATAAATTCTGAAAATAATTTATGTGGCTAAGAAAGCATCTATTGCCACCTAATCTCATGGACTTATAGCTAAAGAATTTTTGAAGTTTGCAAAAAATGATAAATCATTTAAGCAACCATTACACCAAAACTTTCTTTTAAATTTTGATGTCAAATCTTCAGAACAAATTCCAAAAAAAATTATATGTTATAATATTAATGTAAGTTCTTAGTAATATATAATAATAATAATAATAATAATAATAAATAAATAAATCTTAAAATTCTAGAATTTTTAATAAAGAGATGAAGATTAGAAAAATAAATTTAAAACTAGAATCAACCACAAATAAAAGTCCAGCTTAAAATAGAATATTACTAAAAGTAATAAAATAAATAGTGTAATAATACTATTACTTAATTTAATAAATATATAAATAAATATTTTTTGATATGAAAATAATTAAATTAAGATTAGATTTTCAAACCAAAACATACATTATAGTTGTGGATGGATTGAAATAAAATGATCATCACTAAAATTTAGAAGTATTATAATAAAAAATACAACATTTGACAAGAAACTTTTAATTTAAGGGTGTTTTTTTAAAGAGTGTTTTTCTAAAATTTTATAAACTAAATTCTTTTCTAAACATTGTATTAAGGATATGATATCAAATTGTCAATATACTCTAGTGTTACTAAAAAAGAGTAGATTTTCACTCAAAAATAGTATAATACAAAAATTAAAATGACTATTACAAAAAAAAGAAGAAGACTAGAGACTTTTGAAACAAAACTAATAATAAGAAAGACATTGACAAGAGCAAAGAAGACTTCACTCTTGCTTATACTATCTAGCTAAAATAGCAAACTTTTGAAGGACTTCTAACATGTGTTTACCTTGGCATGCCATGTAGCCAACTTATATCACAAGTAACTAACATGTGCAATATGTAACTAACTTGTTGACTAAGTTTTCAACCTATCAATCACCTAGATACATGTATAAAATCAAATCCATATCTATTGAGTTTTAAAAAAGCTTTTCCACTAGATATTATATAATTTACTAAAATTTATTTATTTCTATCTCATTCTTTTTATTTAAGTAATTTTAAGTGTTGATTATATTTATAAAATTACCTCTCATTTTAATAATGAATTCCATGAGGAGCAATGACCACATGTTGAGTAAGTCCAAAATGCAACAAATTGTATTTGTCACATATTCTAATCTTTGTTTCTTTTAATTGTAGTTTATATGTCTTTTCAACCAATAATAATGTGTTATAATAAGATGAAAAGATTACCATGATATTTGATTATTATTGAGACTTTTATAACTTCTATAAAATATTACATTTGAAATACCATTAGAAATGATTTCTACCTCTAATGATATCACCAAACATTGAGAGTTTCTTCCAATGTTGTGATATCAAATGTATTGTATCTTTCTATCTATTTAAAGAAGAATATGTCATTCTTGAAGATCTTCATTTCTATTATGTTACCTTGAAGATTGTAAAAATCTCAATATCTTGTTTGGTGTTGTATCATGAAAAATAAAACTTAAAATACATTAAGCATTTGATTATAGAAGAAAAATTGTATTTTCTACAAATAAAAAATTTAATTATTTTAACAAAATTTTAAATAGACCTTAATATAATCTTAAAAATTATATTTAAATTTTAATAAAATTCAAAAATATCTTAAAGAAATATTAATATAATAACAAAACATAATAAAACATAATAAAAAATATGAAAAAAATCCTGAAAAAATTTCCATTTTTTATAAAAATATCATAATGAAATATTTAAAAATAAACCATAAAAAACCATAAACTAACTTGAAATATTTCTTTTAAAAAAACTAAAGAAATCATATAGAAATCCTTAAAGAATATAAAGTAAATCTGAAAAGATCATAATAAAATCCTAACAAATTCTAATAAAATCTTAACAAAATTCTATGAAAATTTTAAAGATACCTTATAAAATCTTGATAAAACCCTAATCAAAATCTTAAATTTTTTATAACAAAAACTAAAGATAATCTACAAATTCTAATGAAATTCTAACAAAAATCTAACCAATTCTAATTAATTGTAGAAAATTTTTAAAACTTTAATAGCTATTGATTAAATTTTCGATCTTGCTTAAATTATTTCATTTATTTTAATTTACTAGTCAAAAACGAGTATAATAATTTAGAAAAGATTCTAACTTACTTGTTGAAAGAAAATACTCTTTCATTACTAAGGTATGGCATGTCTTTTTTTTTTTTTCTAATTTTAATGTTGATCTTTCAATAGTAATAATTCTTTATTAAAGTGTTCACTTTCATACAAGTTTTAAAAAATATTTTGAAAACTAAATTCACAAATTTTTTACACAAATCTTCTTTAATTCAAGTGTAAGATTACTCAAAATCAATAAAATCCTTACTAATTCTTGAAATTCAAATTCTAAGACTTTAACCTAATTTGATTTTAATAACCTCTAATCTAATTTTTAATTTTAATTAAAATTCATAAATAAATTTAAGACAAGTAGATATACAAGATTACAAATTTATATTTGTTAATAAGCTAGAATGCTCACGAAATCTTTAAACATATAAGCTTTCTTTTATTTTTAAAAAATCCAAATTACTTAAAACACCTTATACTTTGAAAGATCTCAAAAATTACATATTAATCCTAATCACTTAAAATCAACTCTCAACCAAATCTTAGCAAGTTTGCTTTCTATCTATGCTCTATATCATTTATATAATAGGTTTCTACTTACATTTATATAATAGGTTTCTACTATGATCAATAAAAGAATCTTGGATTCACCATAAGGATGAGGTTTGTATCTTGGGGTCTAATTTCAATCTAGGTTCACAACCAATCTTCTTTGGATATCAACATCTAGTTTTTTTAGGAAATTTTTGCTAGAAGCTACAATTCAATTTTTTTCTTAAGATATCCATCATACTAATTTTTTAAATCTATCTTGATTTTTTTTTATTCATAGCCCTATAAAGTAAGTAGAAACCTATTATATAAATGATAGCATTAGCCTTTATTAATTTTACTATCTTTTTGACTATTATCTATATTACTATAATATATTGCTATTATAGTTTGAATGAGAACTTCTATAATATAATATTTTCTTTCTTCTTTCATCTAATAGTTGTGATACAATATAATATCAATATTCTATAGAACGTCCAACATGTGTTGAATTTGTAAGACAAGTTTTCTTTATGTGCACCACATGACCAACTTGTATCATAAGTAGTCAACATGTGCAACATATGGCCAACTTTTTGGCAAGTTTTCAACCTATATATTATCTATAGCTATGGAAAAAGTCAAATCCATGTCTATTAAGTTTCTAAGAAGCTTCTTCACAAGATATTACCAAATTTACATACTTTAACTTACTTCTGTCTAACTCCTCTTATCTATTCAAACATATGTATCAATTATGTTCATAAGAGTTTGTTAGAAATGATACTTGTATTTTGTGAACATGAAGCTTGATAATTTCTATGAATATATAAGTTAAATATCTCTATTCCAAATTATATTTCACATTACTTGGAAGAATTGAGCATATCTCATTTGCCACAATTTTTGTTTTAGCAACTTCAATTGTGGTTCTAGATTTGTACTTGAAAATTGTTCTTTTCTTGGTAGAGACTTTTTTGATTATATTGTAAATCAAGTCTACTTGGTGTTTTAGCTGTAATGATAATATGCCACATTTTTTTTTTTTTTTTTTTTTTTTTTTTTGTTTAAGAATGTAAAAACATTTCTACAACATTGTGATGCATTGCAAATTTTTATTTAAACAAAAAATGCATTATAACTTGTAGCATTACAAAAAGATAAACTATGATTTTTGAAATGCCATTGTTGTAGTTGCTTCAAAAATTGTTTTCATAAGCATCTGTAACAATTTCGGACATAATATCCCTAATTTATAAATTTTAAAAAATGAGATAACTTGGAGCTATTTTTTATTTTATTTTGTTTTTATCTATATCATGCCATAAAATATTTTAGTAAATATAATTGAATCAAATAAATATGTTAATTCTCTTTTCTGATAAAATACTATATATCTTATGATCCATGCTATAAGAGTGTCTTAATTGTAAAAGTATGATTTAATTAAATTATTTATTAAAAAAATTAAAATATAAAATATAAAAAAATATATTAAAAAATTATCTAATTTTGGTGATTTTGGTATTATATCAAAAATGATGAAAGATTGGACATAGGCCATATGAATTATAAGTAAGAAAGTTAATAAATAAGACATAACTCTACATTTATAGTTAAGAAGAATATTTTCAAAATTATATCTTTCAATTTCTACAACAACAAATAAATAAGGTAGCATAAAAAATAAACTTAATGGATTTAACCAAATACAATTGCAATTATATAGTTTATGCACTATAAGATAAAAGAGATTAGATTATATTAATTAATTCTTTGGCTTGATAATCAAAACTATTTAGTCCATAAAATACTATTATTTTAACTAAAATTATTGTACGTATATATTAAAAGTTGATTATAATCAATTTAATGAATTATAATGAATTAAAAACTAAAATTTAATTAAAATTGGATATTAAATTGATAAAAAAAATTAATACAACATAACTTTTAAAACTAGCTAAAAAGTTAATTACTAAAAAGTATTGGATCTACACAATCTCCTTATTTTTTACTTGTATTTTCACAATTAAATATAATTCCAATTTTTATCTTCTTCAAGAAACTAATTTTTTCAATTTTTTTTTTTTTTTTTTTTTTTTTTGTTGTAATATTGGCTTACAAAGAATTGCTTTTAGTCTTCATAAATTTAATGCTTATAACTATAAGTATATTGCAATATATCCTTGGCTTGAGTAGCAATATTTTTTATATTCTTCACAATAATCTTTGGATGCTTATCATTAAGTGCCATTAACTGTTAAAATTTATGATCCAAACACCAAAGAGAAATTTAATTATGCGTATATCACTATAGGTGCATGTATTGTAAAGCCTTGTATAATAATTTGAATTAATAATTTAAGACATTGATATTCCTTACATTAATTACAAATAATAATGATGGTTGATACCAAACTTTTAATCTAAATTATCCATAGTTTTTGTTAAATCAACCACTTCAGGTTTTTTTTAGTTACATTGTCTTATAAATTTATTAGAATGGTAAGTTGTTGCTCTTTGCTTCTATTTTTTGTTTTCAATCATCTTCAACTTCATTATCTAATTTCTTGATATTTTTTCTACATTTTATTTTTATTTTTATTCATTTGCATTCAATCTTATCTTTCATTTAGTTATATACTTTTTTAATTAAATAATATCATCCTTGGCTAATACATTATTGGATTGTTCAACCATAATACAATTGGAGTCATCCGAATTACATATTGATAAGAAATTTGTTTCTTGTTTAATTCTTCTTTTTGTTTCTTCTTCCAAAATAGTTCCAACTTTATTTATGTCTACTTATTGTAGACATACATATTGCAATATGCACTTAATACTATCAATGACCAATCAAACTTCTAATTGGCAAGCTTGCAACATCTTGTCTTCTACTAGATTGCCTTACTCAATATTTACTTGTTTATAAATTCCATCTATTCTTTGTTATACAATTTGACTTTTATAACCTTCCTCTAGTTGGCTTTGCCTTTGCATAATATAGTGTTGAAAGTAATGTTGTTGAAACAAAGTCCTTGTGTAAATCTGGTTTTAGATTGGGTAATTATTATACAATACACCACTGAGTGCAATACTTTCCATGATTTTGTGCTGGAAAATGAAAAATAAATGACCAAAAGCAACAGACCATGCTGCTCTGACAACCTGTTCCACCCAAATTGTGAGTTAGAATAAAATGCCGAAGGGTATTGCACACTTTGAGCACTGTTTCAAACTCAAAAGAATAAAGGAAAAATCTCTCCATCAAATATAAAAGCAGTTTAAAATTTGTGTTATTTACAAAACTTACTACGCTCATTCGACCCGTACACTAAGAAAACCTGCTGTTGATGAGAGCTTCTGAGGCAGAGGTTAGTGCTTTCATGAGGTCATCAAACAGGAATTCCGTCTAACCCCCGCGCTGCTTATCTACATTTTCGACAGTGGTCCTCGTGCCTTCAGTCCTAGATAACAGTAAATTGGTGTCCTGCTTTGACTATGCATACATAATATCACTTAATCTGCCTAGATGGGATTCAATCGCCCTGTGGCCTTCAGAACGAGAAACCACCTCCATATTAAGGGCACTACAAGCCTTATGATGAAGGTAGGTACTCGTTTAATGCACAATTCCCCATTCGATCTTGCTGTTCCAGTTCTCGTCTTTGAACTTTGCAGTGAAATTTTATTGTACTGCTTTCCTTACCCTATCCAGGAACGAGACAGTTGAAGTCAATCCATAAAAACTGCTCAAGATAAGAACAAGAAGAGAAATACCATTAATCGTAGCTTCATACCAACTCCCAGCTCTCAATAGCCACCACCGTAGCCAGCCCCTCGACTTCCACCATAACCCCCACCATAGGTCCCTCCAACAGTGCTTCTCTCACCATAACCACCACCTCCTGCCTGATTAGGACAGTCTCTAGAGAAATGCCCACTCTGACCACATTTAAAACAATTGCCTCCACCTCCTCCAAATCCGCCACCAGTCCCACCTCCGTATCCTGCAGATCCTCCCCCATAGCTGCCACCTCCTCCCCCAGAATTTGGACAATCTCTGGCAAAATGTCCTTCCTGTTTGCATTTATAGCACTGCGTACTACTTCCGCCGCCAGACCCTCCCCCATAAGAGCCACCTCCAGCGAAACCACCATAACCACCAGATGTGCCTCCATAACTATTCTGTGCCTCCACAGCTGGTTTTACAGTTGGTGTATAAACGGACGCACCATAGGCAGGTGTCGCACTTGGGTAAACACCTGCGGCACTCTTTATACCAGCCACTCTATGATCTGGCTCCCCTGAATTCAGATTTTTGATCCAACCTAGCATTAGCTTACTCTCTGAAATCCAATCCATAGGGTCTACTTTCACCAATGTGGACTTGGTTCTTTGCTCATCATTGTATGTTTCTTCTTTGACCTTTAACTTGAATATATGTTTCATAAATGTAAGCTTCTGTATAGCTTCACTAAATCGCTGTGGCTCATCTTGACTCCACAGAAAAAGCTCTTTCGCTGTATGATGCATGAGCTCCTCTCCAGTCTCTTGAAAAACTGTTATCCATGTTGGACCTGTATGATCTTGAACTTGAATACTCAGCAGATATCTGCACATAATATCAAATGGCAATAGTATCTTCGTTTAAGATGTTGTATTAACACCTCTGAAAGACAACAAAGATTAAAATCATAATTGAAGATCATATCTCAGATAAAAAAAATGATTCAAGTGTCAAACTACCAAGAGAATGATGAGAAGGTGCTCATCTAACCTGTAATCACACTCGGGCACAGAACGATCACATCTATCACAGCGCCATGTACCATCTCCATTATTTGTAACTTTCTTCATACACTGCTTGCCGTTCACCTCAAGAGGACAGGCTGAATAGCAGAAATTCTCTGGTTTAATATAGAAGACAGTCGCTCTTATTGTAATCCAATCGGGCTTATCACCTCGACCTAGTCCTTCATCCTTGATAGCCGCGACAGTTTTACGCTGCTCCAGCCGCCCTCCACCTCCACCTTCTCTAGACAGAAAGACGGTTGTTGAATTCATTCCTTCCCGATTGAACCAATCTCGCACTTTACGTGCTTCTGGATGATCAGGATTTATAACCAATTGTGTGGAAGAGATTGTGCCCACGGACTTGCCACTGAAGTCACTAACTCGACCAGCTTTCACAGCTAACACCGGATTGGCCCCCGAATCACACAAGTCTTGCAATTCTTGCCCTTCCTTGTTACAAAAATTACCCCACATCGTAAGCTCTACACTACGGTTTGACATATCCTTCAATTGTAAACTTCTTTTCTGAGTCTCAAGGCCATTCTTGCGCGTGATTGTGACAGTTGGAGTGATTGACATAACCACTCCAATAATGTCTATCATAGCATTATTTTCCAACGTCGCAACTTCAGAGATTGGTCTAAAGTCATAATGCTGTTGAGGTATCGATGAATCCTCGTCATAGCAGGGTTCAATTGTTGATTGTGATTCCAAAAATATTTCCCAGTCGTTCTTCAGATGGTTGAAGTTTTTCTGAGCAGCCTTCAAAGAACCTTTACTAATTAAATACACCTTACCTACTTCGATACGGTCATGAAATTGATCAACAACATTATTAAAACATGTTGCCCGAATCTCTCCACCATCTGCATCCAGCATATCAAAGGAGAATACTTTGCCTTCCCCTTTTGCATTGTGAAAGCGCCGGATCTCCCCCTTAGATGTAACTCGAGCTTTGATCGTCCAACGACCCTGATAAGGATTCAGTGCAGCAATCGGAATGATTCTTGCAGGCGCTTCATTCTTTACAATGGGTCCTCGGTTACCGTACACCGGAGCAGGTTGATAGGCAGCCATAGGGCGTCCATAAGAATTCTGGGGCTGACCTTGCTGACCATATCCCGCTCCTGCTCCGTTACCAGCTGCATTATTATGTAACCCGGACTCTGGCTTCACTCCTACGCCTGCAGAGGAATATGGATTGTAGGGACTTGCAGGTGCTTGACCCATATTAAACCCTCCAGTACCATCAGCCAACCCCGTCCCAAGAGTTTGACCTATGTTTATAGCTGTAGGCCTGAAACTAGAGCCACTGTTAGCAGAAACTGTTGCACTCGAAGGAGTAGAAATACGCGGCGGTGGTTGCTGCGGCTGAAGACTTCCTGGACCAGGGCCAGGACCAGGACCAGGTGCTTGATGCTCTCCGCCTGCAATCAGGTGCTTTGGATCACCGATAATTTCAGCCTTAGTCTCCACGATTTCCATGTTAAGCACTATAATAATCCTGCGACCCATTACAGGACGATGCGTCAGAGACAAATAACAGTTGAGGAGCTCTTTTCGTAAATGCACAAACTTGTTTATGGAGAAATCGAGAGCCAGAAGAGGCGTCTCGCCGCCAATTCAATAAACCAAGATACCTCACTTTACAGCCACTGAAGGCTAGTTGAAGAACGATGCTTCCAAAGACAAGACAGCAATTTTAAAAGCAAGTTGCAGCATGTAAAACCACGATGCGATAGCTCAGTGGTGCCCAAGAAGAATTACTACATCTCAGCTATCAGCATGAATGAATGCCATCTTTCCAGCAATTCTTACTTTCTATTCTGAACAGTGTTACATATATACTCCAGCAGCTGCACAATCGATCCCTTGACGGCCAGATTATTTTTTACTTTCTCATTCAGCTGCGTCGCCAACATTGCCTGCTGAAGGTGCACGCCGTCCGAAAGAACCAATCTAAACCGCTCCGTCGTAGTCTGTGAATTCCCTATCTGACGAACGTCGACGATCTGCAGGGTACATATAGTTGTAAGGAATCCAATAATTGCACTATAAACGATATAATCGATTGAACAGCCTGAAACTTAGAAAAATTTCTCTCGCTTCCGTAGTATTCCGAAAGCTTTTACATGTCACTGCAAACCCCTAAACCACATAGTTTCTCAAAATTCATATCACAGTTGCAAGTGATTGAAGCTATCCACACAGAAGCTTCAACAATTCCCAAGCGAGAAGCTGTGCACCACACGCTACGCAAATCGGCCGCTTCTCAGCTTCAAAAACAGCTGCACCGCTGAATTCAAACCAAAAAATTGTCTTCTAACTCGCAACACAATTTTTTGACCCCATCTACTCAAGTACTTAACCTCCACAGAACCCTTCCACCAACCATAACACTCTCACCGCGCAAAACTCTCTCCCGCTCGAATTAAGATACATCCTCAAAAAATTAAAAATCTCTTTTCGAAACACAATCACGTTCACACAAACCTGGAGCACGGGGCGCAGTTCGACGTCACCATTATTGAGCGCCACGATGGCGTTGGACGTGAGTAACATCCCCATAACTGTAAGCCTTTACAACTTAAAACCTAATTCAACTTGAGGCAATTTTTGAAGAACAAAATCCGGCATGCTACATGCGTACAACCTCTCAACAATCTCCAGAAAAAGGAAAAAACAGAAAGAAAAAAAGAAGAAAAAACACGTGAAACAAAAACAAAACAATGTTTGATTGTTGCGAAGCTAAACGTAGTCTGAGGAATGACAATCTATAGACAGGAAGCTGGAAAAATGGAATCTCATCACCGAGCTGCAATAGCTTCATCAAGAGGCTTCTGCAAATTCGCGCCGCTCTTTCATCATTCGGTGTTTCTTCCGCCCACCGACCGACAACGACGAATGCCGTCATCAATTTTCATTTACCGTAGCGAGGTTTCCCCTCCTAAAGCTGACAGAATTCGTCCATATCCAGCTTCATCCAGCTCTCGTCATCTCTACCGGCGAAACGTCGGGTTCTTTAGTAATGAGCTTTACACGACGATGAAGAGAAATTCCTATGTCTTGATTGGTTAAATCACGGCGATGTCTGCACTTATGCATCGAATACCGCGCCGTCATCACCTCCTCAGACGCATTCCTCGGTTGAACGACTTAGGGCTGGACAAATACCGCAACCTGTGACTTGGAAAACAAGAAAGAGCAAGAAAGAGAGGGAGAGATGCATCCTTGAAGTTGTGCTCATCTTCTATCGATCTTCACTTCCGACGTTGCTTAAACTCTCCATCCTCTACAGCTTTCCTTGCGGCCTCGACGGCAGAAGTTTGATTTCGGTAGAAAAGGTAGCGGACATGCCTGCAACCACGGTTGTAACTATGACTGAAACCGCTGTTCCACGGAATCTGTAGAAACTGGAAACAAATGGAGACAATCGAGAGTTACAGCAATTATGTTCCTTCCCTCACAATGCGATCCGCGCAAAAGCGAGAGAAGGCCATCTACTTGTTGTGATTGCCGGGCATTCTGCCTAGCCATAGCCGATCCAGCACTGCTATCTACAAACTGAAGGCGGCTTGGCAGCTCTCTGTCTCCTCCGTCTCGGTGCCATGTTAGTAAATTGCTTAAGCTCCAGGTGCACTAATTAGGTGACTCAAACCAACTACAAATAGATATTAAATTACAAGATTGTAACATCATATGTTTGTAACTATATACTATTTATTGAATATATACTTTTATTTACAGAAATGTTAAATAGACCCAAATTTTTACTAAATCAATCCATCCATCCTAACCATCATGAATGAAAAAAAAAAATAAAAAAAAATAGATTCATTTTTCCATTATTGGACATGCAACCAATAAAAACCAACCACATTCATCATGATTACTATATTCTTCATTAAAGGTGGGTCTATTTAGTAAAAACTTTGGTCTATTTAACATTCTTCTTATTTTAATGTGATTTGTACATAAATGCAATTTTTTTAAAATACATTTTATTGATACCTAATACTTATATCAATAACAAGAACTTTTAATATATATATATATATATATATATATGAATATTTAGAATAAGACTAAAGAGTGGATTTAAATGCTAACTTCAATGTAATACACATCATATTCATATAATAAATTTAATTTCTAAATTTATTCATTTAAAAAAACTAATATTTATTTTTATCTTCAAAAAAGAAAATATTAAATCTACTCACTTAAATATTCAATTGATCCATCTTACTTCTATAATTCTATTTCTATGATTATTTTTATTTTATTTTTAATTTATTTTTTGATTTAGAAATAGGAAAATTTATAATCTCAATAAACAACAACTTAGATGAACTTAAGATCCTTTTTGGGAGGGAAGAAGGGCAGGAGGAATTTAGAGTTTTACTTACACTATCTTGTGTTGGCTTTCATTTTGAAGCACTTTTAAATACTAAATTCTAATATACACACATTGTAGGAGCACATCTTCTATTATAGATCCATTATATAAAATATTAAACAAGAAGCTAAATATAAGAATTTCAACAAGAAAGCTAGCAAGAAATTGATTAAACTAAATAAATATAAGATTAATATCAAGAAAAGTGAGCTAGAATTTCAAAAGATATGTTGTTGAGACTAAAGATTCTCTTATCCTCGACTCCAATATATACTAGGTATTAGGAAACTTCTCAAGAATTTTCTAGGTTGTATAAAGACAAAACAACCCTAGGCAGATTTTTGAGAAGTTTCCATATAGTTTGAAGATGAAGTAACCTTTGGAAGTTTCTTGAGAAGTTTCCATGTTGCTTGAAGATAAAACAAATTTAAGTAGCTTCTTAGACAACTTCTTTAATCTTCCTAGAACTTTCTAGAATGTGCTAAAATATTTTTAAAACCTTCTAAAACATTTTAGAATGTTCTAAGAATATTTTAAAATTTTCTAAAATTTGATAAAATATTTTAAAAATATTTTTAAAATATTCTTGTTGGATATCCATAACACCACTTTCTCTTTTAACTTTGAATTCTATGAAGAACATTGATTTTATATCTACAATAGAATGATCAAAGTTCAAGCAATATTATTAAGATTTTCTTATTTGAATTGATTATAGCATAAACATTTCTTCTCTCATGATGATCTAATTTCATCTTGAAAATGATCTTGCAAAAATTGGAAGAATTAAAATTGTTTATTTGATAGTAGTAATAAGGAAAGCTCTAATTTTGGCTCTACTTTGAAATCCATGATCTAAATATTCTCTAAATACCTTCCAACTGAACATATTGGAATCATAAACTGGATATACTAAATTCTAAGGTTGTTGTGAGTAATACTTGTTATTTTTATTATGTATAATATCTTTATAGTAGCTTCATAAAGAAATCATCTTAAAATAGGCATAGATTTTTGAAGATAGTATTAATAAAATTCCTATACTTTTTACAATGCATTAATTAGATTTTTTTGGTGGTTTTCACATATATTCATTGATATAGTAATTATACTAATAAATAAAATATTTCAACTTTTTTCTTTTTTTGCTAAAAATCAAGGATCTTTTCCACCTCTTATTCTACATGATTATCTATTTCAATGCAAGGCAATAATGGTTGTATTCTTTCTAGAATAATTGATTATGAATAATCCTCTAAAAAAAAACATGAAAGATTGGATGTACCGTCATGGATGTAGGAAAAATTTGCTTTTGAATACAAAATCGCCTAGTCTTTAATAGTCCAACTTATTGCAAGATTGATTAATCTTGATATTTTTTTGAAGAACCCATATTTTATCTTCAACTTAAAAAACAAGGAATTTCTTTTTAAATTTATATAAAGATGCTTTATAAGAATCTTGAGCTGCTTGTAAATAGAGCTTTAAAATTGTCTGAAGCTATAATAATTTTTTTGCAAGATCTTCAATTGTTGGATTTTTATTCTTTAATATATCTAACAAATCAACCTTTTTATGGTAACCATAATTGACATAAAATGGTGTTTTTTGAGTTGAAGTATAAAAAATATTATTATAAATAAACTTTGCTAAAAGTAAATGTGAAATCCAATCATCTTATTATTAGTTGATGGTACATTGTAAATACTTCTTCAAAACTTGATTGACTAATTTTATTTGACCATTGATTTGAGGGTAGAAAGTAGAAAAAAGTTTGATATCCACCTTCAACATCTCAAAACTTTGATATAAATTGAGATCCTTAATAAAAAATGATGTCATCATGTAAGCCATGATATTGATATATATTATCAAAAAAGAGCCTTGCCATTTCTTCTTCAAAAATTATCTTTTTGCATGGAACAAAATGTATCATTTTTATAAGCCAATCTAAAACAACGTGAATAGCATCAAATATTACTCATGGTAGTAGATCAATGATGAAATCTATTGATATTGAAGACTATAATTGCTTTGAAATTAGCAATGGATGTAGAAGTTCATAAGAATAATATCAAGAATTATTGAATCTTGAACAATTGTGACACAAGAGCACAAAGTTTTTCATAGTCTTTTACATTTGAAGCCACTATAAATCTCTAGAAATAAGATAAAATATTTTTTTAAATCCAAAATGTCTTGCAGTTCGAAAATCATGACAAGATTGAAGAACATAAAGTGACATCGATCCTTCAAAATATAAAAAATCTTCTACAAATTTGAACTTGTTATTGTCCAAGAGCTGCTTGGTATTACAAACTAATGAGACTTGAGTTGATGCTATACAAATTTGTTTAAAATAACTTGAATCAAGATATATAATCATAGAAGTAGCACAAAGATAAAATTATTCTAGCTTCAAAAAAGTGATATATTGTTAATGAAACATAACTTATCCAATCTTTAGAACAAGATATGATCTCATTGATAAAACATCTGATAGTCTTTGTTACTTCTTTAGTCAACATATAATCACAAAATCAAAACAAAATAATGACATATTTCAATGAATTTGGCAGTGATTTAGAACGCGAGTTGACATGAAATATCCCAAATTTTTGTAATATATATATATATATATATAGTCATAAAATGTGTAGCGTCTTCTAGCAAGTGATAACATTTTTAAAAAAAGTCTACAATTATAAGGTGTTCTTTATTGTGAATCTCCTAATTGATTTCAGCAATTAAAATTTTTTTAGAATAAAATATAACTAGGTAGAGCTTTCTATTATTTCCCATTTGTGATGGTATAACCTTTAATACAAAGTCGAAAGCATCAATCTCCAAATAGAAGGCTATGATAAAATTTAAGTGTATTAAGATTGGAGCTATAATAAAATCTATCTTTAAAACTTGAAAAGTCTTTTATATTTGAGGTTCCTATTCTAATTTATCTTTAGATGTTAATTAATTGAAAAGAGTAGCAATTTGGGAATAATTCTTAATAAATATACAATAAAAATTGGTAAATCTCAAAAAATATTATACATTCCATATTATCTTTGGAATTTTCTGCTCCATTATAGCTTGAATTTTCTTTGGATCCATCAATAGACCTTCATTGAATATAATATATCCAAGAAATTCTACTTTTGACTAATAAAATATATATTTTTTCAATTTGGCATATAATTGTGCATCTTATAACTTTGCAAAATTAATATTATATATTCTTTATGTTCTTTAAAAGTCTTGGAGTAAATTAAGAGATCATTAAGATAGCAAATAATAAACTTATTTAAGAATTTTGAAAAACATCATTCAACAAATGCTGGAATATTGCTAGAGCATTTGCCAATCCAAAAGGCATGACATTATATTCAAAATGTGAGTACCTTTGTCCAAAATATTAACTTCCATTCATCTTCTTCTTTAATCCATATCAAATTATATATTCTATAGAAATCTATTTTGGTATAGATCTTGGCTTGATTGGGTTGCTCCAAAAGTCCTAACATCAATAATAATTGATAACAATTTTTTACCATTATTTTGTTGAGGATGTGATAATCAATACACATTTGTAACAATCTATTTTTTTCTTCACAAAAAGTATTAATGCACCTATTAGAGATTTGGAATGTTGAATAATTTTTTTTACAAGATTTTTGTTAATGTAATCTTTTAATGCTCAAAACTTATTCTGTAATAGGTTGTAGATTGGACCAAATGGTAATTGAGCCTCTTCTTGAAGATTGATGGCATAATCATATGGTCGATGCTCCAACAGTATGTCAGCATGCTTATTTTTAAAGACATCTTAAAATTCCTTATATTGCTTTGAAATAGCTACTAACAAGTTTTTTTTTTTTTTTTTTTTTTTTTTTTTTAAGAAGCTAAAGTTCCATGTATGACAAATAACATTTTTTTCTTAGTTATCTTCATAAAAGTCCTTGTTCTAAGAAATAAAGGCTTTGTTATTAATGAATTTTTATAGGTTTTGTCTAAAGGAATTTCTTTCGAAATTCAATTTTAAGCAACTTCTAATTTGTAGATAGATTATATCTTTTCAACCACAAAAGTCTTGAAATAAAAAGATTAAAAAATATTCTAATAATATTGAATATTATTTTGTTACTATGGCCCTCAAATGATATTTCTAGCGATATAGTTTTATGAGTAATATTACTTGAAGATAAAAATTGATTATTTATTACTTTTATATATACATGTTTTAATTTCTATACTAAAAGAATTTTATGAAGTTTAAAAAATTCTTCATTTAAAAAGCATATAAATACTCTTGAATCCAATAAGGTATTTGTTTGAAGTTTTTATGGGCCAAAAAATAAAAGTATAATAAAAAAATAAACAAGTTAGGCAAATAGAAAGGAACTTTGATAAATTTGAAGTATTAAAATATTTAGCTATATGATCCTTATGATAGCTAGGCTTCTTTGTTTTTCTAAATAATTGCACTTTTAGTCTTGATTGTATGTTATTACTTCAAAAAAATTCCAAATTTAAAGGCTTCTTTCACCACAATACAAATATAAGTATTATTTAAATTGATATTTTTTTCCTTTGATGTAAAAGATTTGAATTGTATTGCAACAATTTTCATATCCTCATCTCGAAAATGTGGAAGTAGTATGTTTGGTGAAGCATTAGAATACAAATTTTTAGTGCATTGCTTTGTCAAAGTCTAGAAGCATTAATCCTGATGGCATTGAAATAATTGATTATTATATTTTACAGCTTAGCTAACAGCTTCATTGAGTATTTGAAGATTAAGTAATCATAATAATAGGTCTTTGACATAATCTCTTAGTCCCTAATAGAATTGACTCATAAGAGCTTATTCATTTCAATTAATGTCACAAGCCAATTGTTTAAAATTAGATACATAAATTAATGTAGACCATGATCCTTGAGATAATGAAAGAATCTTTATTATTGCCCATAAAGCCTTGTCATGGTTTCCAAGTGCCTCGAAAAATACATTTAAAAAAGCTTCAAAATTATTCAAGATTGGAGATCTTTTCTCAACTAAAGGAGCAAACTAAGATAAGACTTATCATGTGAGTATGATTTCAACTAAACCAACTTGCAACTCCTCTATTGAATAATACTCAATTTGTAGAAAAAATATCAATCAAATTTGATTAACAAATCTTCAAAACTTGGAGTGTGTACCATCAATTTAAAAAAAAAAAAAAAAAAAAAAAAAAAAAAAAAAAAAAAAAACTAATTTAAGACTCTTTATGTTATTGAATAGATGAATTTCTTTATCAAGGTATAGTTGCTATTATATAATATAGTATAGATAAGATATTTGTATTATTGATACATATGGATAGATAGTTAAAACCATGTTTGAAAAATTATGGAAGTTTCTAGAATTTGGGCTAGGTTAGTGGACCAAGTAGGATCCATCATGGAACATTTTAGAAAGAGCTTAGGGCGGTTATCTAGGTGGGATCTACCATGAAATTCTCTAGAAGGAATTTAAGGGAGTTATCTAAGTGGGGTCCATTATCTAAGAACATTCTAAAAATTCCAAGGTAGTAGAATAAAATATAAATAAGACATGCTAGGGCTTTTTGGGGGGCTAGTCAAGTATGACTTTAGACCTTCTTTCTTCGTAAAATTTGCTTTTGCATCTTCTTATTCAGTTCTATTTTGTTCTATTTTTGTTTGTATAATTTTATCTTTTGTGTCCTATTTTGTTTAGTTCTATTTAGTTTTGTTCGAGTCTATTTTCTTCTATTTTGTGATGAGGTTTTATATTGGTGTGGATTCAAAAGGTCTTAAACTTTCAAAATAGATTGGTCATGTTTCACACTACCTTCTTAAATGTAGAAGTTTGAGAAAGTAATTGCATCACATGTTGAACTACTCCAAGTCTTATATTACCATGAAAGCTTGTAAAAAATCCTTAAATTTTGATAGTTCTACAAGATAAAGCATTCAATGTAATTATAATAACATCTAACTTAGACTTAAGAGACTTAATCATATTAACATCTTTGACTTCCAATCATCTTGAAAAGAAAAGAAAAAATAAAAAAATAAAAAATAATACTAATTTAGAAGAAGATAATTTGTAACCTTTAAAGTACTCAAATGCCTTCAAGAAGAAAGATAATTCATTATTTATTAAGAAGGATCTAGCTCTAGTATTGGTATGAGAGTTATTCTCGACAAACTATCATGGATACATTATATAGAAGATTGAACAAGAAACTGAATATAAGAATTTCAATAAGAAAGCTAGCAAAAACTTGATTAAAACAAATGACTACAAGATCAACATCAAGAAAAATAAACTAAAATTCCAAGAAATGGATTGTCAAGATTAAAGATACTTTTAATGTGGACTCTAATATATATTAGGTATTATGAAGTTTTTCAAGAAGTTTTTATATTGATTGAAGACAAAGCAATTCTATGAAGCTTTTTAAGAAGTTTCTATGTTGCTTACAAATAAAGCAACATTAAGAAGTTTCTCAAGAAATTTTCATGTTACTTGAAGATAAAGCAAATCAAGGAAGCTTCTCAAACAACTTCTTTAATCCTCTTAAAACTTTCTAAAATCTACTAGAATATTTTAAGAATTTTTAAAAATAATTTTAGAATAATTTTAGAATCTTTTAAAATATTCTATTAAAATATTTTAAAAATCTATTTAAATCTTCTAAAATTTTATAGAATATTTTTAAAGTATTTCTACAATCTTCTTGTTGGATGTCTATAACATCTACACTTAATACAATTTACCCCTTTTGTCCCATAAAACATGGTTATTATACTTTTAGATTTGATAAGTAATCAAGGTAAAATTAAATAGATGAATTCACATATTTTCTTATTTTGAAATTGGAGAGGTGGTTACATATATTGAATTATGGAAATAAAGTGGAAAATTTAAGATTTAGGTGGGTCAATTTAATATCTTTTTAATAAAAATTAAGTAATGTTAATAAATTTTATTCTTTGATTAAAAATACTAAAAATTAAGTTATATTTTGTGTATACATCAAATTGATTTTGTAAATGTGACTAACTATTAAACATAATGGTTGATAATTCCAATATTCCTAATAAGTTATTATTAATTAATGAGTAAAAAATTATAATTAAAAAAATTATTGAATGTGTTTGTAATGTAAAATGTTATAGAACTCTAATAAAATCCTATAGTTTTGATTAATGCTTTTACATTTTTGGAGTTCTGACCAGCAAAATTATATTGTTCAATATACAATCTAAATCTATTATTTATATTCCAGATTCAAAGCCTAAATTCTCTCTCTCTCTCTCTCTCTCTCTCTCTCTCTCTATATATATATATATATATATATATATTATAATACAACATATCATAAAAATCAATGATTTCATAGAAGAATTGTAAATGGATTACAAGAAAAAAATTACTAAAATTTGTAAACAAATTTTATGAGGATGGAAGAACCATATCTACATTCAAAAGTATTCTCAACTTAGAAGATGTTTATTAGCATTCTTCAGTTTTTTTTTTAAAATAAAAATAAACTTATACTCTTGTATCAGACATTATATACCTTTTAAAAAAAAAAGTGTGTGTGATTTATACCTAGACTATATACAAAAATATTTAGAAGAAAATTTCAATTCTTTTACTACTTTTATATTGTCAAGAGTCACAAAAACAACAAGACAGAAAGTGAAGTAATCTAAAGACAAACAACAAAAGCATGACTCATATTTTAAGAAATATGCATTAGAATAAACATGACTTAGTTTTATTAGAGAATCCAACTCTGTGACTATTCATGACAAAAGTTTTTTTTGGATAGGACAAAAAATCATTAATTCATTTCACACATCCTGTAGCAATATTTTGTTAATAACAATAATACTAATACTAATATATTCTTCTGGTACTTGTTGTTTGAATAATGAATTAAGTTACATTCATTTATTTTACTTTCTTTTTAGATTTTAATTTTCACAATAAACAAACAGAAAAAATTACTAGAACTTAGATGTGCAACGAGAACTTGGATTGCATCCTCGAAAATGGATGACTTGGCAAAGCATGGGCGAGGAGGAAGAAGCTCGCGCTCCTTCGGGATTTCATCCCTCCAAGGGACGTTCTCTACCTCGTAAGTTCCAACCCTTCCTCAATTAAGAATTTCACAATAAACAAACAGAAAAAAACACTAGAAAAAAAGTAACAAACAAATTTAAAATAAAAAAAAGGTTGCCGAGGAACGACATGGGTGATTCACGATGTGGACAGTTCTCATTCATTGCACCCATTTTCATACATCCACTATATTTGTCTCCTGTGAGACTCTCAGCAGGCCTGAACTTTCGTCAGAAGCATCCGAAAGATCGGCCCCGAGGCGCGGTTTCGAGCGTCATGGTCGGCGTCTGCGGCATCGCCCGTCCACAAGACGGGCAGCGTGCATGTTCCCAAGTGGCAGGGGCCAAGGGCACCCTTGCCAAACCCTTCGCTGCTTTAGGGTTAAATGGACTCCACGTGGTGGCTCCAGCTATAGTTAGCGGTGGCCAGCTGAAGCTACACGAAAAAGTAACTTCTCCCCAGTTCCCCAACTAATCATCTACTACTTACCAAAGCAACAAAAAACTGAAAAGTTGAAGCCGTTTTACCGCGTCGGAAAAAGTTACTGGGTCTCTGTCTAGCTTGTGACTTTCGCTTTACCTTTATCCAGGGACAAGAAAATCGTACCCGGTCCCTCATGTAATTGGGGGCCAAACTCGGGATCAGAGTGGGAAGGCAGAATTCGGGATTCTGTGTGGCGCATTTCAATGACAAGGCTATTGTTGTGAGGATATTTTTTATGTATTTATATTATTGCTCTTCTTATTCATCCTCTTCGTCTTACGTTGAGTGCATTATTGTGCGTTTGGCTTTACATAAGCGCCAGAGTCGTCTCCCCTCGCAGCCATTGCTTCTCTTGTGATTCATTGACAGTGTTGGGTAAGCTTGCGAGCTCCTCTCCTATTGATGTTGTTTGTTTATATTGTTTCTGTTGTTAGCTTAGCTTCTTCTTCTTCTCCTTGTCCTTCCTCTAGATGTGCGTTCTACTGTCGAACCTCACTCGTCGCTGATGTCGCGCTTTTCGTGGCTTTAAAAGCTGGCGAATCCGTGGTAGTTCTATTCCTCGTCTTGAGAGCGAGTTTGTGAGGTGGTGATGTCTAGATTTTTCTCTTAAATTGTAGAGATGGAATTGCGGCTTCGTGTGGTTAATGGAATTTCTTTTGAGAGTGCGAGGTTTGGAGTGATTTTCTTCTGGTTGTCGGATTTTTTGTTGTTTGGATTTTGCGCCGTTTGAATGGCAATTGTTGGTTGAGGATGTTGGCACTTGTGTGTTGTGAGGGTTAATTGGTGCTGCGCGCATTCGATTTTTGAGGACGAGTGTGTCGTTGGTTTTGTTGAGGTTGTCTGCTCTTCGTCAGTGGATTGGATTCGGATTCCTACAGTATTTTAAAATCTGTGTGCTGGAACAGGCAGTTACCTAGAATTGAAGGGGTAGAGGACTTTGATGCGCTTAGAAATTCCGCTGTCGTGTATTAGGCTGTTCGGTGGCTTTTGTACAAACGAGAGGGTTTTTTTGAGCAACTTCCTTTGGGTGGACGGAGGGCTTTGTTTGTGATTGTAATTGCTAGATGTCGTCATGATCGATTTTCATAATGTTGTAGTATTGCACTAGTGTAGTTTTGAAAGAGAACTTCGAAAGATATTCTTACTACTTCCGCAGAATCTAGTTCAACTCTTACCCAAGCTCCGCGTTTGAGCAGTCTGGCATGTCGTCATAATTTCAGGGTATTTGTTCTGGAGAGAAATAGCTGGATCCCAGAACGTTGCCTACATTTTCGTCTTCTGAAGTATTCTTTGAACCAAGCAACAAGTGGTCTTTTGTTCGATATTCACTTCGCTTGCCTGTAACCATCGGCAGATCGAATCTAAGAATTTGAATCTCATTAATCGCAAGGTTGTAAATGCTTGTTTTGGTAAAAGCATAAGTATTGGATTCAGCATACAGATGTCGTGGATGCACTTCAATTTACAGATAGCAATTCGTGAGGATGAATAATGATTTTGATGATAATTTTGGGATAGTCTTTGAAGCTCTCCGGACCACGTTTAAAAACATGAGGGCGCATTAGCAAATATATTAGGAAGTGGCACCGGAGAATGTCTGGGATCATGCAAGGTTCGATTCCATGATCAAACATGTAGTAGCACTCATGTATACTCATCTGGAAGTATCATCGTCATGTAACTCTCGATGGTGGCTCATTGTGTTAATGATTACTGTTTAGGTTTTTCTAATGTTTCTCATATACGTACACAAGTAAAAATTGATGTGGGAATTTTTAGCTCCAGAGCCATGTGATGTATTTATGTTTGGTTCAAGTTTTATCAAATGAAAATTCGCTTTGTCCTGCAGAAGTGATAATTTATTACAGTCAAATATAACAATGTATGTGTTAACCAAGTAGTTTACGCATTGAAAGCAATAGATCTTGCATGACGATATATTTACGAACTCAAATTTTGTCTTGCCACAGGTTTTGAAATTTGAAAATCCCAAAGAATAGCTCCAAGTACTGTCAGACACAGCAGCAATCGGCTCGCGGACGTTTTAGAATGGGTGTTACCGCTGAGAAGGATGTTCCACCAGCTGTCGAGGATGCTGCACCAGCAGTATCTGACGACCCATGTGAAAAACCTGAATCGGATCAGCCAACCAAAGATAAGAGTATAGCTGGTGGTTGCCTTTCTTTGATTGTGCTAGGCGCATCTGGAGATCTAGCAAAGAAAAAGACTTTTCCAGCCATCTTCAATCTTTACAAGCAGGTACAATTATCTTGCACACAAATGCCTAGCTCGATACGTAGGATATTATGTACGTTATGTACCTGATAAACACCTTGTCCCACGACACCTAAGGTAAAGTTTTATGTTTTCACCAAATAGAGCTAGCTGTGTGGGCAGATGGTCAGACTTAGTATCTTTATACTCCGTTGCACGAATGTGATTTCTGTTCTGGAATATTTACATTGCTTAGAAGAATTATTCCGAATGTATTTTAATTTTCTCAGCATATTATTTTGGTCATTTGTTGTTTCGTGGCAGGGTTTCTTGCCGGACGAGATGCATGTTTTTGGGTATGCGAGATCCAATATGACCAACGAGGAGCTGCATGAGAAGCTTCTTAGGTATAATGTTTGTTCATAATACATTGTCATTTTGAATGTTATTATTCAAATTTGTATTGCGTATACCTCGTTTACTTTGTCGAGTTCGTCATGATTGAACTACTTGTTAGCCAATGTGAAGGCCTCATGTGAGGGTAGTCTGTGAGGAAGCGGGGTGCCCCTACCATTATTAGTGTGTCTTTTGCTAAGCTGGTTGAAAAAGTCCTTTATATGTTAACAATTTGTTTGTGATTCAGGTATTTGAAAGCAGAAAGGACAGATCCTACAACAAATCCTGAAGATGTGAGAAAGCAGTTTCTTAACAAGGTACGCGACATGATTATCATTGTGTAGACATTCTTTCAACAGTCATATACAGCATCTAAATGCCGACTCGGCTGTGCTTGAGATGTTCTGAAGATGCATAGCATCGATCTCAATATTATCCCTCAACGCCTTACCTATGGCTGTACCTTAATTTCTCTTCATGTTTCCGGCAGGAGGAGTTTCTAATTAATTATCGATCCGCATCTAATTTACTACTAAGTTCAGCGTCTAGCTATGTTTGTACTCAGTGTTGAGATGTCAGCACTAATCAGTTGTCTAATTTGGTAGATTACATACATACACGGGGCGTATGATGCTGATGAAGGTTTTATCAAGTTGAATGAGGAAATTTTACGCCTCGAACGAGAGGAGAGTGACGATAATAGTCCCACTCGTAGGCTGTTTTACTTGGCCTTGCCTCCTTCAGTCTATCCGCTTGTGAGCAAGCAGATTCGGAAGCACTGCATGAATCAAAGTACGGTTTCCTGCTTCTCGCACTTCTCTTTAAGTGTGGCTCTTTTGAAATCTACTCTTTATCCTGGTAACAGGTTGATGATTTAAGTTCTGATTCGTATGCATCATGCTACTATCTCAATTTTGATGTGAGATTTTGTGTTGTGCCCAATTTATTTTATTTTTCGAACAAATATATGAAGCATCGGTCTACGAATCTGACTGTTGCTTCTATTCTGCATTAACGTCCGTGGCGTATTCCCTACAGGAGGATGGACCAGAGTGATTGTAGAAAAGCCTTTTGGGAAGGACTTGGAATCATCTGAAGTTTTGAGTTCTGAGTTAGGTTCCCTATTTACAGAAGACCAACTTTATCGTATCGATCATTATCTGGGGAAAGAGCTCGTGCAGAATCTGGTATGCTCCACTTGATCCTATGATGCGTTTGTGGTTTATTCGATTTAGAAGTAGGCCATAAACTATTCGGATCTTTATCTGACATTCATCTTGTGATCAATAAAATCTTCGCATGCTCTCAGAATTTACTGTTTGATGTTCTGGTCTGTGGTATTCGGTGCAGTTGGTTATGAGGTTTGCAAACCGTTTCTTTGTACCTATCTGGAATCGAGACAATATCGCTAATGTCCAGGTATGTACAAGCCCTGAAATGTAGGATGCGGGTTAGAGAGCCGCTTTTGTAACAACAGGAGATCTTTATAGATGCTGCAAAATCAATTATCATGTTCTCCAGGTTTTTACTTTGGAAAGATTGTTCTGGTAATTATAATCTAATGGTTCAGAGTTGAGCTAGCATTTATCAATATGTCTTCGATTACACCATTTATTTCTGATCACTTCAGAAAAGTAGCTGTTCTCTGATGAGTTTGTTAGTTACATCTCGCAGATTGTTTTTAAGGAGGACTTTGGAACTCAAGGACGAGGTGGTTATTTTGATGAGTATGGGTAAGTGATCTAAAAGGAGTTCAGTTCTTGATTTGCTAGATTTACGCGTACTGGTTGCACAAATTGGAAATGAGTCAGCAGAAACACCATCATTTAATTTTTCATCCTTGCTAGATCATCAATACATATTCCAAGCCCAGAGCAGCATTTATGCATCTAGAGACATGTGAAAATTGCAGGTTCTATTTTGTTGCAGATTAATGATGTCATTATGTTGTGGAGCATTTGAAGAACAAGCTCGTTTCTTACTGCGTATCACTTTTCGTCTTATTGTAGGATCATTCGGGACATCATCCAAAATCATCTCGTGCAGGTTTGCACTAGAACATGATCTAAATCTTATGTTGATTACTAAGGTTTGAGATAAATTTGACAGGAATCATCCAAAACTCAAAGGAATCAATTGGTAGTTGTGGTGATCGGCTATGCTAAGGCTTCCTGCCCCTTTAAAGCTTATCTCTTGGCACCACCTCGTGTTTCCTTGCATCGAGAACAGATGACATTGTTCACATGCATCATTTTGAAGCCAAACTCAGTAGGCTAACTACATTCAGTAGTTTTTGTGAATATAACTATCTGAGAAATTCTGAAATTGTTAATCAGTGCTGGGAGGAGCAGCTCTGAACGAATTCTTTTTCTAATCACCATTCTGAATATTGTGATCGCTCCATTTTGGTTTCCAAGAGAATTCTAACTGGAAATCCTAGATAGTATTATTTTCAAGTTCAATGTTGATTAAAATAGTTATTCCTGGAAGTTTGGAAGTTTCTGTAATCATTGGCTTAAGGTGGGGTTGTTCCTAGCGAATTGTGATTATGCTTTTATATCAATTCAGTTAATATGAACGTTTCTGTGAGGCAGGTTCTGTGTCTGGTAGCCATGGAGAAACCTGTTTCTCTCAGCCCTGAGCATGTTCGGGATGAAAAAGTCAAGGTACGCTGAATCTTTTTGCATTTGCAATACAATTCACCTGCTTGCATGTGTGGTTCATCAATTCTGATTATTATACGTTTCACGGACAGGTTCTGCAATGTATTGAGCCCATCAACGAGGAAGAGGTGGTGATCGGGCAGTATGAGGGCTACAAAGATGACCCTACTGTTCCAAATGATTCCGTCACTCCTACTTTTGCATCTCTTGTTCTTCGCATCAACAACGAACGGTGGGATGGTATGCATTTTTGAACTGAACACTTGCTTTCTTACAACGCTTCTTTTGCGTGATAGATTTTTTTATTTTTATTTATTTATTTTATTTTTTATGTGAAGATCTGGATTTAACTGTACTTGATCTTTTTTTTAACTTGATGATTCCAGGGGTACCTTTCATTATGAAGGCTGGGAAATCTTTAGATACTCGAAAAGCTGAAATTCGTGTGCAGTTTAAGGACGTCCCTGGTGACATTTTCAAGTGTAAGTACCTCAGCTAACTCTATTCCACGCACACTTTTTTAATTTGGTTTATTTATTTATTTTATTTTCTTTTCTTTCTTGATTTCTCTTCTTTTTCTCTTCGTTGTAGTGTGACTTTTAAGTCAATTCTATGATTCTCTTCCGGTGAAAAAGTAGAGGGAAGTTATGATTTTGTTCTATCATTTGATGGATGTAGGCAAAAAGCAGGGTCGCAACGAGTTCGTGATGCGTCTGCAACCGAAGGAGGCGATGTACATGAAGCTCACGGTTTGTATTTGCGTCATTACTTTGTTGTAAAAGTCCCAGTGAAATCGTTTGGGTAAACATAGTTGGTAAAAATTGAACGCCATTTAAGTAACAAGGTCATGACATGACGAGTTACAGGTGAAGGAACCCGGCTTGGATATGCGAGCCACACAGAGTGAGCTAGACATGTCATATCATCAACGCTATCAAGATATTGTTATTCCTGAGGCTTATGAGCGCCTGCTTCTTGATACGTAAATTCTTCTGCCCTCCTGTCTCATTCATTTCAAGATGGCTATATTCAATCATGTGTGCAATTCTGTTGCTTTTTCGTTGCTTGTGCCTCGATAGAAACCAGAAACATGTTTGGTTAAAATATTGATCTAGACAATTCGTACTTGGGCTTGTGCAGTATTCGTGGGGATCAACAACATTTTGTGCGCAGGGATGAATTGCGGGTATTTTGCCTTGGACTTCTTAGATAGTTTCTATTTATACAGCAATTTCCGATCTCCACCTAATTGAGTAGAATTTGATTTATCACTCCACTGTTCCTACGCTTAAAATTTTATTTTTACTTTTAATGCGCGAATCATACACTTACATTTTTGTTCATTTTAGCAGATCATGTAGGAGTCTAAATTTGACTAATTTATCCACGTCTCTGCTCAGGTTGCATGGGAGATATTTACACCATTGTTGCATCGTATTGATGCTGGAAAACTTAAAGTGATACCTTACAAGGAAGGTTCTCGAGGACCAGCTGAAGCTGATGAACTAAATGCACGGATGGGATATCAACGAACTGAGGGTTACTGCTGGAAACCACCTACATTGCAGGCAGGTGCCGCGATCTAGCAACGTGTTTCTTGGAATATAACAGTTGAGATGTCTATGAAGTACTTGTGAACGCTTCCTGTGAGATTTTAGTATACTTGTGAAGAATTTAACCTTTTCATCACACATCCTCTGTAAATGATTTAAAGGAAGAGGTTCGTCTAATATTACTTACCATTAGCAGCATTAGTTGATCTAATACAGTGAAATACATGTAATAGCAAAGAAAAAAATACAAATTGATGTTCGTGGCTCGTTTTCTGGTATTTTTGGACATATTTTTCGTTGGCATGAACCTCCTTACATGATATATTGTGTTCTTGCATGTGATGGTTATATAATTCTGGTCAGTATATTGATGTGCACCTTTTTTTTTTTTTTTTTTTTTTTTTTCAATGCAATGTGCAGTAGCCCAGAGCCGAATGTGAAGGAAACGCACAGAAGCAAAGAAAACGACAGGCGTTCTCAGAATATTGCCTTGTAGGTTACTTGAATAATACTAATGAATGCAGTCCCATAGGTGGTGCATGTAAAATACAGTAAATGGTGGATCCAGCATTAGAACGTAACCAAACCGGTAGTAGCCACATTTAGCTTGACGGCTACATACCTTTTCGACATGTTTGCTCAACCAATTTGTAATCTGTAACTATCGATATTTTGAAGCATGATGATTACAGTAGTCCTTGCCATCATCTACTAAAGTTCACTACTCTGCATATTCATCCACTGCGATAAACTTCTCCTAACTATTCTAAAATGCACTCGCTCAAAATTGGCAGAAAATCTCCCATTCCAACACGCATGAAGATAATCGATGCTTCGTTAATTGGAAACATCAACCTCTAACCGATGTATCAGCTGGATTGATCAGTGCAGGTTCGAAATTGAGTGAATTTTTTTTGTGCGGCAGAACGTTGATTTGGGTTGATTGGAAGGGTGTAAGATAGCTCAAATATATATATATATAAATAAATAAATAAATAAATAAATATACATATATATATATATATATGTTTTTCTTCATTTCCATTGTCTTCAATCAGAATAAAAGCAAGGATTATCTAGACGGTTTGTAGTTTCTAAAGCGAGAGAGGTCTATCAAGCTACAACAGCAAGTGCTGCTGTCCATCCACTTGGGGTTGTGGCTCTGCAAATTGAGCTTTAACCCACGCAACCTCGGATTCTGCCGCCTCAAAAAATAAAAGAAAAAATAAAGAAAAAACGAAAAGGAACCCATGGGTCATCCACCTATGTTGCCACATAACCCTGGCCGATCCAGCCCAATCCTTCAGTGGCCCGGCCCATCCAGCGACGCCGCGACGCAATTGCAAACGCAAACGCAAACGCAAACGCAAAGCCCGAGACCTCTCATTGTCATCAGCGATTTCGCAAAGTTTTCTGCTCTCTCGTCGATTGCTTGGTTGCGTTCGATTGCCGGGAGCATTGTCGTCGTGACCCATTTCGTGGAGTTGGTGAGATCGTTGTGTTTGTTGCGATGAGGGACGACGATGAGCGAGGCATTATGTGGAGGCTGCCCAAGCTTCAAACCAAGGATTGGGGCAAGCTAGGCCCTGCGTTCGGCTATGGTGTCGGTTGCGGTGTGGGTCTTGGCGCCGGCATCGTTGGAGGTCCGTTGTTTTTCCCCTCCTTGTTTTTGCGCTTCGGTGTTTGGGGTGCAATGGTGCACGTGACGCTTTTGTGGGGAGATCATTGGTTGGAAGATTGGTTCGTGAAGGCATCTAGTGATTCCTGTAGCTCCGCAAGGAAGTTTGTACTCTGCTGCTGTTGTTATGGGTCTTTGATAATTTACATTTTCTACGATAAACATGGTTTGGTTACGGCTTCAATTTTTTGGCGCAGCTCTTGTGGAATGTGTGAGTTTAAATTGGACATGCACTTATTTGTCGCTTGATTTGATTCGAAGGAGCAAATGTAATTAGGTTTTTTTTTTTTAGCGAAAAGCTGTAAATTGTTAAAGCTGCAGAAAGAGCGTCTTTCCTTGTAAAGAATTTGAACAGGAATTTCAACTCGTGTTTGTGGATTACTTGAGTTGTTCACATGCTGACCTGTGGAAGGAAGAAGCTGATCAAGTTTGGGCCTATCTCAGGATCTGTGTTCTAGTGTACTGTAATGGGCATTGACATCTTTTTGCAATGTATGGGATTTTTTTCAAGTTTTTCTCGATTTGACAACTAGTCAGAAAAAACACATTCCTTGAATGGTTTCTGTGCGGAACCAATCAAAATGGCCATTTGAATCTTACTGTGATTCGTTACACTCTCTTCGATTTATACTGCAATTGTAGGAACTAACTTTTTTAACCTTTTTGTCCTGATGTAGGGTTAAAGAATTCTGCATGACTGAATGCTCGGGTTATTTAGGGTTTCGCATTGCAAAATGATTTAACAATTCAGTTAACTCAAAAACATCTGCGTGTGTCGACTTTAGCATAGGATGACTCTATAGCATCATTCTTAACATTCAGTAACATTGTTTTCCGGTCGGCAAGCGCCCACAATGCTCATACTGTTATATTATGCTACTTTGCAGGGGCAGGAATTGGCTTGGGTTTCCCTGGCTTGCAGGTCGGTTTCGGAGTAGGAGCAGGCTGTGGCGTGGGCGTTGGATTTGGTTACGGATTGGGCAAAGGTAGAGCTTATGACGACAACGGCACTTACAGTAACGTGGGAAGGCTTCCTAAACGTTCACGTAGCATTGCTGGCTCCAGTGGGTGAGTTTTATTATTTGTTACCTTCACTTCGCTACTGCTTCCTTTCTTCAACTAAATTCATTCACATCCAGAATGGAGGTGTATATTTTATAACTTAATAGATGCACTATAAAATTGGCCGAATTTATTGAATCTGCTGTAGGTTTTGACTCGAAGTAGCTTTAGATGCTTATGGTTTGACCCATATGTTCTCTTCTTATTGTAGGGCTGAGATCGGAGCTCTTCTGGACGACTTAGTCTCTGGTGTGAAGCGAGCTCTTGACTCCATTCAGAACGATGATGGAAAGAGGCGCCGATAATCTGTAGCATTTCTTTGTCACATTTGTTCTTTTTAGTCGCAGCAGCGTTCACCTTCGTACAGGATTTTAACAAGGCTGTAGATTAACCGGGGGTGCTGCATGTAGAACTATATGTCTTGGTGTACATGATCCTCATGCATGCGCAGAGCCACTTTATTTTGTAATGTACTGATTTGACATGGTCACTTGACAATCTTTTTCAGCTAGTTGGTTTGAATCATGTTCATTCATTCTGCCTGTCGTGTTAACATGCTTCAATGTCGAACCATTCTTTAATTGAGAAGCGTGCTTATTCACAAATCTTATACCTGTTCTTTGAAGTGGCTGGGTGACGATTTCATTTTCTATTGCTTTATTTCTGTGCTATGAAGTGGTTGGATTACTCTTCCTTGGTAGTCACTCTTTGAAACGATTGTTTTTTTTAGAAAAGTGACTATGCAAGCAGATTAACAATTGAGGGTTGAAGTACTCGTGTGTAAGTCTCGATACTTGCAATTGATTCCTGTAAGCTACTGATTTTTCACTAAATCATCATATTATCAGATGCTTGACTTCGAATTTAAATGGGTAGTTCGGGGGCTAGTTCTTTTTGGGAAGGATTATAATACTGTCAGGATGGATGATAGCATTGAAGTTATGATCGGAGTTAGGCCTACTGGTTCTAAGTCAGCAAACCAGGCTCTCATACGGCAATCCAGCATGAGTTGAACACTGTTCTATTTGGTCCAACCGAGTTAGGGTTCTTCTTAAGGAACCTAGAATTACATAGAGCAGAATCTAAGAATGAGTCGTGGGTTGAAACCAGATGCGTGAGAGGAAATGGAGAACCAAAAAGCCCCAACTGGACCTAAGATTCTGTGCTTTGGATAATCAAGTTTTTATTGGCCTGTGCACATGGTGGAACTCCCTATATGCAAAAACGTGATTTTTTATCTATAAGATAAAACAACAAATAGAATCTTTAAATGACTCAAATTAAATGAATAGTCAAAGATAAACACTTTGGGAGATGATGCGTTTCAAATTGAAATGGTCACAATTGAAGGCCAAAAAAATGAGGGCATTTCAAAGGTATAGAGAATACCATTGTAAAGAATACTATTGTAAAGTATACCATTATAAAGAATACCATTGTAAAGTGTAAACCATTTTATTTATATGATTTCATGATTTTGGCCTTGAGACTAGAAGAGTATGTTATTCAGGTTATATAAGAAAAATTAAACAAGAAAGTGTTAACATTTACAATAAAATTGGCATGTTAGTAATTTATGCATTAGAGTTATATGTAGCAATTTGTAGTATAGTATTTGATATATTTGAATTTTTTTAGAGTAAAAGATTTTTCAATGAATTTATTGCAAAGAAATATCAAAATATCCTTTGCAAGTATTTGATTGCAAGGGAAGCAAAACAAATGATACACACATTGTATAAGAGATTGTAGAATACAATATGGTAATACAAATAAATCTGAAGTGAATAATAGACATTTTAAGATGAGATAGGGTGTCTTTATTTTTATATTGAATATAATATAATAATGGATTGAAAAAAAAAAAAAAATCTCAAAAAGATGTCACATTAAAAGAAATGTAGAGATTATAAGACAAATTTGATATACAAAAGATATATACATAGAGCCAAAGAAATATTTAAAGATGTAAGTACAATTTAGAAGTATTATCTTGATGGTATGTTAATATTAGTATACATTTATGTAGGTCCAAGTAAGCTCCCACATTTAATTTAAAATAATTCAACAAGGACATTTAAGTGTTAGAAAAAAATAATTATTAGAAGATGTTTATATATATATATATATATATATATACATAATTAAATCTTTAAGTCTTGTTAAAATATTCCTATAAACTTAAATTAATAACTTGATTAACAAGTCTTACTAAATAGTCTCTTTAATGATTTGGCAAACTAATTTTATTAAAATACTTTAAAAAAAACTGCTGTAGTAACTTAATTAATAAGATACCGTAAGCATAAAAACAAAGAATTTAGCTTTTTTAGTAATATATATATATATATATATATATATTTATATAAGTATATAAAACTAAGCTATTTTTATTCTTATAAATTTTTCTAAAAGTGTTATTTATTTATTTATTGAATATTTTTTTTATGGAAATCTTGTTATATTTTAAATTTTATTTAGATATACATATAAACATTTAAATTTTTTTTCCCTAATTAGTTGATTTCTTGTATTTTTGTCCATATCTTCATAGTATAAATTTATTTGTAGTTCTTAAAATAATTAATTATCAAGTGATTTATTTGTAATTAAAAAATTTAATTATCAAATATTTGGAAGTTTTTGGAATTTAAAATTTAAAATTAAATTACTAAAATCATTTAAAACTAATTTTAAAGTTTTAAAACCATATTTTAGATAATGCTGCATTTACAACTACAAAATTATACAAAGTTTTACAAAAACAAGTACTTCACTAAATAAAGATAAAATATGAAAAAAATAGTTAAATTAAAAAGTCATATAAATAAAATTATACATCTAAAAAATATTTAATTTATTTTTTTTAAAATTAATAAAATCTTTTGAAAATAAAATATTATTAATAATAAGTAGATATACAGTCCTAAATTCATTGTAGAGATTTATAAATTTTAATTTAGAAATAGTAAAGATATATATATATATATATATATATATATATATATATATATATATATAATAAATTAATTATCAATTATGGATAAGTTATATTTCTCCTATACAAAATTAGATTTTAAAGTTCTTCTTTTTCTTATTATTATTTTAAATAAAACATAAAATATATATATATTTTTTTTTTTTTTTTTTTTACAAAATAATAGCCAAGAGATGAAGAAAATATAAGAAGAAATCATGCTAAATATTAAAAAAATGATATTAAACTAAAAATAAAAGATTACTTATAATACTTCATAATTTGTATTAATAAGATTGAGGGAGAATGAGATTATTTTCTTTATGATTTCTTAGTATGTTAAATTTTTTTGAGCATGTTTGATTTTTTATAATTTTTATTTACTTCATTTTTGATTTTTTAATTTTAAAAAAATATTTCTTCTTCTAATAAGATGTAAGTTTTTTGGTTCTTGTTTTATGTTGTTGTATTAAAGTTAAGTAATCCAATTTATGATTGTAAGTGGAAAAAAATGGTTTATTATAGATTATTATTTTTTAGTATAAATTATATATATTGTTGTATTTTGGTATTATTTTTTTTATTTTTTTATACATGCTATTTTATTTACTTAGAGGAGGTTTTGTAACTATTTCTTTGTGTAAATATAAATCAAAGGTTTTTTTTTTTTTTAAAATCTTTGTCTATAGTCTTTCAGCTTTTTTATTGATGCTGTGGAGCAATTATATTTTGTATTATTCTCTACTTGTAGATAGAGATGATTCTTATGATTTTACTAAGAAAAGTATCTACTAATGTTATGAATGTGCTTATGTCAAGGATTTGAATCTCGAAGAAAGAGAATCTTCAATATACTCTTCTATCATTGAAGAGAACTAGAAAGTCACTTAAAAAGTAATGTAATATTAACTAGAATGGCTATTGCTAAAAACAAGAAGACTAGAAAGTCTTGAAACAAGACTAAGATTGGAAAGGCGTTGACAAGAGTGAAGAATGCTTTACTCTTGCCTCCATATATACTATCTAACTAAGAACTATGTGGCGATGTCCTATAAGACGTCCAATATGTGTTGACTTTGCTAACTACATGTCTTATCTTGGAAGGCAAGTTATCTATGTATGTGCCACATAGTTGGCTTGTTCCACAAGCTAATATACGGAGATAACTTGTTCCACAAGCTATCAATACATGGTTAGTTTTTTGGCCAAGTTTCTAATCTACAAACACATCTAAAGTCAAAACTGAGTCTATGAAGCTTTTAGGAGGCTTTTCTAGAAGACTTTATGAAATTATTCTATATTTACCTACTTTTACTTAATCATATAAGTAACTATTGAGGTAAATGTATATATCCGTGACATTACCTCCCCTTCTAGGAACGAGTTCCATAAGGAGCAATCTTCATATGTTGAAGAAGTTTAAGATGTAGTGAATTATATTTGCTACATACTCCGATCTTTGCTCTCTTCAAAGATGGTTGATAGATCCTCTCAATCATCTATAATGTCCCATACTAGGGCGAGAAGACCACCTTGTTATTTGATCATTGTTGAGGCCTTCATAACTTTCTTCAAATAAAACATTTGGAACACTGTCAGGAGTTGTTCCTACTTCTAATAAAATCACTAAACATCGGGAGTCTCTTCTAAGGTCGTGATACTAAACATCATATATCTCGCCATCTATTCGACAAAAGACATGTTATTCTTGAGGATCTTCATCTTGATTTCACTGTCTTGAAGGTTGTGACAATTGTAATGTCTCGTTTAATAAGTCTCCAAATAAAAGCTCTTGAGTTGAATCTGCTGATTATTGGTGCTCCATCTCATCACAAATACACAGAAGCTACAATGAAAGATAGAAGGTAGAATGTTTTTTTCTTTTGATCTTGTTTCTTTTATAAGAAAGGTTTGCTATTCTTCATCTTAGTTTTGATGGATGTCGTTGATGAAAGATTTCAACTTTCTTTGCTGCATTTGCAAGATTCTTTGATGACTTCCATGTACATTCACTAATATCATATCCGTGCCAATGAACAAGATATTCCAACCTATTTCAGTGCCATCTTGAGTCTAAAACTTCTTCTACTTCAAACTCTTACTTATTATGTACTTCTATAGAAAGAGGTGGCATTTGTCTTCTTTCTAAGATATTCACTGTCTTATACAACTCCAGAAGAGATATGTGAAATACAGGGTGGATCTTCATAAACTCCAATAGATGTAAACGATAGGCAATAGGATTGATTTTTTTACAAATAAGAAAAGGTCCTAATCTACAATAATCTAATTTATCACAAAGATGAGTAGTCTTGATATTGCGACGAAGTAACTATACCTTATCACCCATATTATATTGTGGTTGCTCCTTATGATAGGCATCCACGTTGGTCTTTTGTCATTCTTGAGCTTCTTTTAATTGTATCTTTATTGTTGTATGTAGCTCTGACAAGCGATTTGCTAAATCTTCCACCGTAGGATTATCAACTTTTGAAAAGTCAAAGGTATGAAGACGTGGAAGATAACCATAATTGGCAAAAAAAGGTGTTTGTTGAGTGGAAGAATGTACCAAATTAGTATATGAAAACTCTGCCAATGGTAAAAGAGT